TACCTGCTTCTACATGTTATAATATTAAACTTTAAAAAAATTAATAATTAATTTTAATTATATAAAAGGTATGCAAATTTTATATTAAAACTTACCATATATAGAAATGGTGATAATTTCTTTTAAAAGTCATGATTATTTTAGCATCCATTAGCTGAATTTTTGAGGTTGTATTTGGTGGTAGAAAATGAATATCAGTATATTGTAAAGTAAGGCCATCTATTTTGTGACTGGAATAGTTATCGATAAGGAGTAATACACATTGACTTCGATATTTTAGATCAACTTAGCGATCAAATTCCCAAGTTTACTTTTGAAAGAGTAATATAATTATTCAAGCTTTGATATTATTTCAGTATGTTATAGGTATATTTTGGATTTTTATATTTTAAAACAATGTGATCTTTTATATTTATTACCAATTACTAAAGGTTTTAATTTATGAGAGCTATTAGCATTCACATATAACGCAATTGAAAGATATTCTTTATTCATTTTACGTCTAGCAAAAAGTTTAGTTATAAGTATTTGATTCAAGATAAGTATACTTTTTGTTTTATTTTTTTATTCTTTAATTTATATACTAAAAATTTTACCTGTAAAATAGTCCAGTTTCATCTATATTATAGATTCTTTCAAGAAAATAATTAGAATAATTTTCTCTCAATAAAGGTAAAGCATTAGCAATTGCAATTTTATCAGCAGATGAAACTTCTTCTTCAAGCTTTCATTAATAAATTACATTACGATCTTTAAATTTTTGAAACCATCCTTGAGAAAATTGAAATAAATCCTGAGAAATCTCTAATCTATTAGCAATCAATTTGGCTTTTTCAATAAGTATCGCATCACTTAAAATCGTTTAATGTTGATAGTTTAAAACAAATTCTTTAAGTGCAAGTTCAAGCTCTGGATAGGAAACAGGTTTATATCATTTGACATTTAGATTAATAACTTCTGAACTAAGTCATTTTTCTGATGTTTGTAAAATATGAGTAATTGTACTTTTATTAATTATAAGACTTCATTGTTCTTCAATCTAATTAATATATTAAGCTTAAGTTTTTTTATTATTATCGCGAGCATAAATACAAAGGTCTCACTTTTGAAATTCAGTAAGGGTAGTTCTTTTAAGAACCATTTTTAAGAAATGTATTATTGATTTTAATATTATTTAAATAATATATTTTAATAGAAAATGTGTAAAAATTTGTTAAATTATATTTGTTTCTCAATTTAGATATACAATAAAAATTTAATTTCTTTTTATAATAGTTTTCAACAGTTTGTTTACATTTTATTTCCTTGTAAATATATTCATATGATTATTTTTAAATTTTTTCTAATTAATACTAATTTGATTTGGTTTGATTATAAGAAAGTATAATATTTATTTATATGCTTGTAATAATTTGGATTAATTAGTTTTGTAAATATTTGTAATTGATTAGAAAATATTTAATAAAAAATTATTTTATTATAACATCATTTTCAAATTAAATTTATTAAAATAAATTTTCTTTAAGTTTCATTAATCATATCTAGACTAGCTTTTATGTGAAATTAGAGAAAATCCAAAAAATATATAGAGTAGTTTAAATAAATAATATATTTTACTTTAACATGATTGAACGGTTAATTTTAATTAGTTATTGATCACCTGAATGTATTTATAGAGAGTGTTTTAATATATTTGGGATTCAGAATTACTTGCATGTATAGAACATAGTCAGAGGATATACTAAATAAGGAAACAGGTTCTAGAATATTTTATTGCAGATTCTTGAAATTTAATTGGCTCATTTATTCATTTTATACTTGTATTTTAAAAAAAATTTTTACAATATTTGTTTGATATAAAAACTTTTCAAACAGATAGAACAAGACATTTAATTTTCATAATCACAAATAATTCCACATAGTTAAGTCTATTCTGTTAAAGTAAATGAGAGTTTGAGTATTTGCTTTATATATTATTAAATAGCATAAATGAAAGAATAAAATTTTATTCAACTAATTTAAATAATTTTTTTTGTAGTATTTACTTATCTAAAACCCAAAGCAAAAAATCTTCAATGCATTTTTGCAGATCTAGCTAAAAAATATGAAATTGGATTAAAATCTTGTGAAACTAAAGAATCACAAAAATAGAGATATACTGATAATGAAAATATAGCTAAGAAGCTTTTACAATATCATACTTACTTTTTTGAACTTGCTAACCGTCATTTTTCTTTGAATTTTCTATTTAATTTGTGAAATGCACTATAATCAAACCATTGCTACTAATCAGTTTTATCAGCATCTTGTAGGTTCCGTTTAAGAGAATAAAAGGCTTCAGCTTGAGGATAATAATATTGATTCAATTGCTGATTTTAATGAAGCCAAAAGACTCTTAAAATCTATGCAAATAGAAAGTTAGCAGAAATCACAGTCAATAGTGAACCTTAATAATCAAGTTATACGAATGTAAAATTATATAGAAGACCAAAAAATGAAATAGCAGAATTGAAGAAACAATTACAGTGGACCTATGATAATATGAGTAAAATACAAAACTTATATGATGAATAATGTAAAAATAATGAAATTCTTATTAGACAATGGAATTTAAGATTTGCTGACCAGCAAAAATATGTCAATGCAATTATTGAGATAGCAAATGCAGAATGCGTATTATTATTTAATGATTTAGAATCACTAATTCAAAATAGCAATAGATTTTCTATGGAAAATCTTGTGATATATAGTTCTCATAAATAGCTCAATAGACGTAATAAAGATATTATAGCATTTATTAAAACTTTGGTTTAAAATGTTCAAAGTACTGATACTTTAAGTCAAGAAAAACTTTTTAAAACTGCTGTTGCAGTTGATTCAATATATGTTGTACGACAAGAAAAGTATGTTTCAGAAATCTAACTTGTTCTTTCAGCTATTAAGTATTTAATCACACGATTAAAGATGGTTATCAATATTGACAATCATATTATAAGCTTAGAAAGTTACTTTTGATTTCAAAAATGGTTAGAAGAATTATCAAAGTAAGAAGAACTATTACCTGAAGAACTTTTATTTCTTGCATTTGATAATGAACAAAGAGGACAAAAAAATTATTTTAACTGATATTATAATACAATAATTTACCATATTGTTATCAGCTTCATTACTTTTAATATGTTATTACAAAACAAAATTTAACATACTGATTTACCTTAGGCATATTACTCCCTTAATAAGTTACAACTTGAAGAACTTTTTGATGTTAATTCTCAAATGCAAGAAATTATCGATAAAGAATTATATAATTATCTTGCCAATATTCTTAATTTATTATCTAAAGAAAAATTATTCTCTACTAATATAATTGATTCTCTTATAACATCTACAGGAACTAATATCATCAATATGAAAGAATATCCTAATTGTTATCAACAAAATATTGAGAATCGAAAAAAAAATGCCCAAAATGCAAGACACAATTACCAACATTGACTGACATATAAAAAAAAAGTGGCTGAAATAATAACTAACAAAACTAACGATACCCTTATTTTTAAACTATATAGTTTTAACGATGAATTAAGCATCACACATATCTCTAGGATTAGCATTACTTAACAATGAACTACTGATTAAAGAGTTAACACCCCTGATATTTATATTCCTGATCTGATTGATATTAACCCTAACTCTATTTTAAATATTGAAAAAGTTCTTTTGCATATAGAAAAAATAACTTGTATTAGGGATGAAATTCATAAGTGAATGGCGGTGATCTATGATGGTATCCTATACCATCATATTATAAAATTGAAAGATAAGTTTCCTTAGCTAGTACTTATATCAAGACCACTACATGAAGAAATAAAATGCTTTGATCATTTGTGAAATTAAACTGGTAAATATTAATTGAAATTTTATTTGTTTTTCCAATTTTTAGATTTTTACTTACTTGATAACTTAAATTTTATATTAGGAAAATCGATATAAAATGATTTGCTGTATGCCAAAATTATCGAATAGACAATCAGCTTTCCTATTTCAAAAAATGTGCGGACTATCATAAGTCTTGGAATGCCATCTGTAATATATACCGTTAGGCAATTTCTATGGAACTTATATGGTCATATGTAAAAAGAAATTCTAAAATATCAGTCAAAGGATATCTTGCATAGGTCGAAAACCAATAATATTCACTTTATCAGATAAAATATGAATAGATAGGTCACTATTAAACTTTGTACTTTTATAAATACTAACGTTAATTTTGTTTTATTATTATATTATTATAACAGATATTCATTTATTTTCAAGCAATAATCAATTATCAGAAAGCTATATGAATCAGCAACCCTTTATTAAAGAGAGCTGCTAAAAGAATATATTTCCTATTTGATTTGCAAGATATCATCCTATTTACTGCTTAATAGAAGTTTCTAATGAAATTCAATTAATGTGACTCTGTCTAGAAGTACAGAGCATTATAGAAGAAACTGCGTCGTATCTAGGTCAGGCATTTATGAATAACATTAAGAGTTAGATGTAATATTAGAGAAGGTAAATAAGACTCTAAAACCTTTAATACCTTCTGTTCCATAATATCATCATTAGAAAATTGCTGTGTGCAATTGTAAAAAATTCCTTGAGGTAATTTTTAATTTAATTAATTTAATTAGTAAAATACTGATAAACTTTACTTTATAATAAAATTTAGCTTAGAAATAACTTACTCTAAATAATCAGATATAACGATTATTAAACTGTTAGACCAAGAACTCAACCAGAATTGTCTGTGAAATGCCAAAGATTTCAGATTTATCTATAAAGTCTTGAATTTGTGGATCAGAGTTTAGAAGAATATGAATTAAATGAAAATTTAATTCGCAATTCGTAAGAAACGGAAAGATTGACATTACATTTTATATAGTAATCAATGAGGATAATAGTAATAATAAAATGCGTTAATACCAATAATCTCTAACCGTTTGAATCTAAATATGAACAAACAACCCATACTTGATATAAAACTAGTCTCTATAGGCCAAATAGTATCCAAGTTGCATTATAGGGTGAACTCAAGAGAATGGTGGATTATGAGAAGTGACAGCAGTGATCTAGAAAATGGAACACTACTTTATCCTATTCGTGTGAATTTGTAAACTATTGTAGAACAAAATAATAGGCCTTTTTATATGCATATTACTGAAGGAAATGAAATTAGTGAAATACTGCCAGGGTATAGGTGTCATTCTGGCAGTAAATTTAGTGATATTGAAACAGCACTGAGTTATGCTATAACAAGTTTATATCAGCAACTTTTTTCTAATTCAAAGATAAAATTTTCCAGACCTCTTGTTTTAGGTTGGGATGATAATGAATTACTGAAAGCCTCATTAAAAGATCTCTATTTTCAAGCATTCGCTATTAAGATAGATAGTAAGATTTTGATGTATATTACAAATATAGGCGTTGGCAAACAAAAAAATACAATAGAAAGTTATATTGCATCATTTATCAGTAATTATAATAAAAAACGTGCTTTATTTGTTCAAATAATTTGATCTAAAAATTATGAAATCTCGATATATCCAAAAGATAACGAGCTAGTGTTTTTTTTGATTCTAGTCTAACAGAAGTATGGAAAAATGAAGGGTTTACAGAAAATATCGTGATACACAAACTGTTTGGTTTAGAATATCCAATGATGCAAAAGACTATTAACGCACAACAAATTCCTACATGCTCGCCCACATTTTGGAATAATGAAATACTTATGGATAATATTTTTAATTATCATTTGAGAAAACGAACACTTAGTAATATTAATTAGCGACAATTGTTTCAAAATTGGCTTGCACAGGAAAGCACAATCATTGAATTACGTGAAACACTAAAAAAAATATATCCACCAAATTATTTGCACAATGAACATGAACTTCGAGCGTGACGCGTAATACTGAAGGCTGCTAGATGTACAGATATTACACCATTTTCTAAAAATCAATCAGAGGTAATATATTTGTTAATAAATGATTTTTGCTAAAACTAATTAATTTAAACCAAATATTTAATTTAGTATGAATTTTGGTCTCAAAACCCTAATCCATTGGTAGATTAAAATATCTTGAAAAATTTATATTGTAACGAGTTCCTAAATGCTATCTCAGCAAATGTGTTTAACTCAAGCAATTAATTTTGGGAGTGTTTTCAAAAATCACTAGAGGAGAATAAAACAGGCGATAATAGAAAAATACGAACTTTATCAATAATTGCTAATAATTTTGAATATGAAGAACTTCAAAAAAATCTCAAGGTAAATATTATTATTATTTATTTACATTAATGTATGCTCATCATATATTTACAATCGCGACCAATATTATAAATAGGTATTGTCCAAAACAATAGCAAAAGCTAGATATCACTGCGAGGTTAATGGTTCAGGGTGTGCAGTAATAGATAAACCAATTATTACACGAGTTCGCATTACTGAAGAAATGGAAACCCAGTTTCAGAATTTCTTTGCTGATAAAAATATTGTAAATTTGAGTTCTTACAAGGTAAATACGAAAACTGATGAACCGCTCAAATATCTAAAAGATCAAAAAGAAACATTGTGACAAAAATTCTTTGAGTTATATCTCACTGGTATGAAAAGAATAACATTTTTGGCACGTTTGAAAGATGGACCTTATGTATATAGAGAAGATTTGGGAGGGTTGTGTGGTATTTGTTCTGAATATGGATATAGTGTATTTGATGATTTAAGGACTTTGATAATAGAAAGAATAAGTGAAAAGAGTAACAAGTAAATATAAATGTATTGTTAGAAGTTGTGATTAATAAAAATAATAAAATAATTACTCAAAAAAAAATTTATTAGAATCAATTAATTACAGAACTTGAATCTGTTCGCCGGCATTTAAAGCGTGAATATGAAAAAGAACTTCAAGTAGATTGTCTAAGACATACTTATCATGTTGAATGTCTTGAACACTGTCTTCTGCATGCTTTTGAAGAATGTGACAAGCCCCACTTTTCTAATTGCAACCAATGTAACAAGATATCAGAATTTTTTTATAAATTAGTTTATCTCATGCCAAATGATTTTGAACGAATTATAGAAAATAGAAAAAAACTTCAATATTACTGGTCTCATCAAGTACACAAGACATACCTCAATACTTAATTTAATGCAAACTTGCTTACTCTTGATGAAGAAGACGCCGTTATTGTGGTGGATTATAAAATGAGAATTTTACCAAAATCAGCACGAGAGGTAAAATCAGACTTTTATGAAAATTCTGGGTGGACACTACATACAATGCTGATATACACAAAGGCTAATAACCATGAATTAGAAATCAAAGCTTTTGATCATTAGTCCTCAGATACAGTTCAAGACGCGTTATTCACAGCCTCGTACTTTGAAGTTGTCTTTAATTCATTTGAAAAAAAACTGAAGTGGGTAAGGATTTTATCTGATAATGGCGCCTATTATCATTGTGCTGAGTTAATAGCTATAATTACAAACTGGAAATTTTAGTATGATGTGGAAATTCGAAGTTGAACTTTTTTGGAAGCGGGAGAAGCCAAAACCACTATCAATTCAAATCATGCTCAGATTAGTAAAAAGATTGTATAATGTGAAAATATAGCTTACGAACCTTTATTATATTTCTAGATTTCTCATGCAATCAAACGATACGTTAGGCTAGAATACAATATATCTGAAGGTCAAAACATAGAAGAAGCAATCAAAGGTATTAGAGAAACAGCAGTTGCAAATATTAATCCAGAATGGAAACAGAAAGAGAAAAAACCTGTAATGGCTGGCATTTTCAATTGGTTTGAATTTCAGTGGCCTGTTGATAGAAAATTCAGTGGTTTTGTACATTGTCATGCTCTTTCCAATTTTGGAAAATGGAACAACTTCTTGCCTTCTACTATTAGTAAATTAATGAAGTGTGATGAACAATATCGACTAAATTCCTTAATTTCCATACATACAAATACAGATTCTAAATGGATAATTCCATTACCATCAATAAATCATGACTCCTCCTAAAATGAAGTAGCTAGGATAAAGAGGTTGACGAAAAATAATATTAAAGAGGAATTAGAAAAAAGATCTCTGTATTATGGTGAGAAAGAGAATCGGCTAGAGTTAATTGCAATTTTGAACAAAAATATTGCATATGAAACGATAAATAAAATAGAAGGTAATAAAATTTTTTTTGCAATTGAATTTGTAATGAAATTCAACTAACCAACTAAATCAACTAATCTTCTTTTTGTTACGTAGAAGCAAGAATAGCGATTAACATAAATAGCATGGTGAAAACAATAATATTTCGGAAATAAGGACTAAAAAGGGAAAGGGGAAAAAAAGGAAATAGAAATAGAAAGCAAGTGAGTTCAACTACTTCAAAAAAAATAGGAAAATATCACGATATTTTATATAATATCTGATGATATTAGTTTCTACAGAGTCAACTATTTTTGATCTGATTAGGCTTTAAAAGAAAACCAGAAATACAGAAAGAAAGGTGGCAGAAAACACATACCTGAAGGAGTAATAGAATTATTGAAAGGTTTCTTTCACGCCAGTGACACCCACAAAAGTGAGCGATATTTAGCAAAAGAAATGTTTGTAGCGTTGCAAAAGAAAGTGGAAATAAGTGAACTCGAAGAAAGCGATATACCAAAGTTGAAAATAATTGAAAACTGGATCAGTCGGTATTCCCGCTAACACAAGCAAGCAATGGCGAAAAAAATTTAAAACTTGGCTAAATAATAATAAAAATCGCAAATAATACCTTTGTTAAGAACGACCTAAGCAGTTTTGATCCTTTTTTTTATTTTTTTTTTCTTCTTGAATTATTCCAATTAGACAGTTGGTACCCATAATCCTAAACCAGAAATACAATTGCGCGAAATATGTCAAATAAAGTGTATATTACGTATTAATACAATAAATAACTTTGGTTTTAAGTGATGTTTTTTATTATGCAAGTTTGGATCATTTTCTGATTAAATCAGGAGTTAGTGTGATATGACGTTTTGCAATTTTTGGATTTTTTATAATTGATTATATAAAATTGCCCTGTGCATTTTCTTTCCATTTCTGGCGAATTGTGAATTAAAAAATTTCATATTTTTGACAAGGCAAGCTCGGAAAAATTATATTACTGAAATATTTATTAATAAAAATAATTCTTCTTTATTCAGACTGATACCAATTTTGAAACAAAAAGCGAAGGCTCAGGAAAGTAAAGAAAATATGACTAAGTCTGAAATATTGTCAAAGGTAGAAACCCTTCTTGAACAACTTAGCAAAAATGTTTAGAAAAAATATCCTGGGTTAAATTTAAAAGAGCGAAGCGAATTATTATGCATATTATAAGAGATAAAATATGAATTTAACAATAATAAGGCATTGTAAATAAGTTTGAAATTTTTTTATTTTTATTTTTTTTTTAAAAAGGTAAATGAAATAAAATTCTTTTCTAAAACATCATTTTAAAATAAAATTCTATTTTAAATAAAAATACTGTTCTAAAATAAAATACTATTCTAAATTCTATTCAAAATTTTAATTTATAACCAATCAATTTCCGATTTCTAAATTTGGAGTAAACCTAGAAAATTCTGATCAGCAGAATTATTACTATATTAAAAAATGATCGACATTACATACTTGGTATATTCTCTGACTGGAATATAGAGGGTGTGTATTTAGCTCTAAGTCTCAAGCTTGGGATCAAACCATAGTATGTATATAGAGAGGGTATACATTTATAGAGAGTGCACTTATAGAGAGTTTACTGTAATTTTTAAGTCCCATCACTAGGTAGGCATAATATTCTTCTATAAGGAGAGTAAGAGTAGGATTAGGGGTAGATTTAGATTAGTATTTAAAATACTATTACTGATTACTTTAAATTCGCGAGCAATTCTTGTCAGCAAATCATAACCAAAAAAAAATAAAGATTGCAAGTGTTTTGATGATCATTAGTCGGGACTTTATGGGTATTTGATTCAAAAATAAAATAAGTAGCATAAAATAAATGGAGAATAAATTGGACTCTTTTCTACTCAACGATAATTAATTAATTAGTATAAAATTAATATTAATTTATTTATATCTGTTAATTTTAATAGAAAGAGAAAAAGGTTATAGATTATATATATATATATTATATAGTATATTATAAATCTTCCTATTGGAACTCTCATTTTATTAATACTTCACTGATCACAATGCGATCATCAATGCAAAGCTATTTTTGATTTCGTATTTTACAAAGAAATTCGGATGATGAAATAATGGTATGCTTTGAACGAGTCAAAAATCTCAAACCCAAAAGTTCGGTAAATAAAGTTATCACAATTTACAATCAATCATATTGTTAATCGGTTTCTTCATTCATTAAACACTAAGAGATATGAATACCTGATTTTTTGAATCAATAAATTAGGATATTTTTTTGGAAAAAAAAACCCCATATCTAATGTCTTATTACTGTAATAATAAATTATTTTTTCCATTATATTTTTTTTTTGTTTTTTACTTAATTATTAGAGCTATACCCACCTTGCTATCTATTAAATGAAAAATATGTTCCAATAATACAAACAAAGCTGAGATACATGTCTGAAAATATTATTACATATTTGTCTTATTTAAAAATACATCTTCTCAATTTATAAATAATACTTTTTAAATAATAATTTTAAACTTTTTTAAATAATAAATTATATATATCTATATATTGGGTTACTAAAAAGGGTAAAAAATTAGATAATTTTATTCATATTTTTATTATACGCGAACTCCTCGTCCAGGTGATGATGTGGCTCTTCGCTGTTTTCGACTTTTATCAAAATAATAGTTTAGAAGGTTTAGTTGAGCCGCGTTTAAACTACCAAGATACTGGAACAATGTATTGTCATCCCCTATTATTGAATATATTGCAACAAGTGAATCGACTACTGATTTTCGAATTTCAGGTTTTGGATCACTAAATCCCTATATACGAAAATAATAATTATTAATATTGTGGACAAACAAAACAAAAAAATATAACGTCCATACCTTAATAGCTAACGGTACGACACGTCCAACTTGTCTTTCTAATGACCTCTTATCGAACCTTTTAACCAATTTTGATAAAACTACAAATGCAGACCCTTTCATGCTTGTCTTTGAGCCGAATTGTGAAGGGCTATTACCAGGTAATGGTACGCTTCCAAATGTGTTAAATAAACTCGATTCCATTATATCAATTAATGCATATAATCCGACATTAGCATCTACTATTTGAATATAATTATCTAAAGTATCATCTGCATGTCCACATATCTAAAAAAGAAATATAGACATATGATTATTGAATAACCTTTATAACAAATATCTTTAGTGACTTGTAAATAAGTGTGATAACTCACATTCGACGCTGAATCAGCCCGACATTCTAATAAAATGCGTAATATATCTCTTTCCTGACCCCTGGTGTAATCAGGTTGATTATTAATCAATTGTCCAAGTAGCATTACTGCTCCTTCTCTCAATTCATTATTTTGCTTAAATCGTTAAATTAAATCAATAATTTATAGTAACAAGTTAATTATACAAAAACAAACATTAATGACAAATACCTGTTCTGAATCACTCAAAAATCCTATTAATGCATTCATTAGTTCAATAAATCGATCGCCATTTTCCCATATATCTTCTGCCAATTCCCTATTTGAGAATTGCGTTTCTTTAGATATTCTGATAAGTTTACGAAACAGGTGAACGTCTGTATCATAACCATGCAAACGTGCCAACAATGTCGCAAGCAATAAACGTCTCTCTTGAGCAGCACCAGGAAGAGGTGAACCAGAATTAAATCCTGTGATGATGATAAATTTTATATAAATAAGTCCATTTGATAACAATTTTTTATGGGAAAAAAAAAGATTATACTGACGTTCAGCTCTTTTTAAAGCTCTATCCCGTGCACCAGATATTGAACTACCACTACCCACTGAGGAAACTGGTGATGCAGGTAATGGTAATTCAGATGCGGAGACATTACTTATAGGCATATTAGTGGGAGATGGTTCTTCTGGAATAGATTCGGTATTTATTGATGAAAGAACTGATTTGTCAGATTTTTCTTCTATTATCTCCGAAACTGTATTTGGTAAGTCCGACTTTGAAGAATTTTCAGTGACTGTTTCTGAAACAGTTGACTGTAATATTCGTTTTGGAAGATCGTTATCCATCGTTACCTGAGACGACTCATCATCAAGAGATTTGGATTTCTCTTCAACATGTGTCGATTCAGGCACTTCAGGCACTTCGTCTTCTTGAATTGGTGCTAATTTTACATCTACCCCATTATTATCACTTTTGAACCGTTCTTCAGGATTCAAGTAGAATGGATTGTTCATGTTGCCATTCATTGTATTCTCTAACTGAGTCCATACGGCTTCAGAAATATAAATACTGTCTGGTCGACTTATTGTCATGTCAGCAAAATTTTCCGGGACATTTTCCTAACGTTGCAATATTTAATTATTAATAAGGTTAACTCGAATTAACAAAATTAAAGTAAAAAAAATGCTTTACATCATTTATATCTTCTTCCTCCTCCATATCCAATTTTTCTACAAGTTGTTTCAAATTTGCAAGCTCGGGATCTTTATCATCAAATTCTGGATATCCTAAATCATGTGGAGGCGGCGGTAACGATACAACTCGATCTACTGGCTTACTATTATGATCTCTTTCCTTGATATTCGATTTCTCGGGCTGAGTTAAGTCAAATTCGCTTATAGTATCTCCATCCTCCTCATGAGCTTCACTTTGTCTATCTGTGCTCTCAGTCCAATCACTATCTCTTGACCTGTATCTACCCTTATCGATCCATTCAGGACCTCTTACAGGTGCCTTGTTATTTGAATAGCCATTATCACGATAAGCATTTCTTTCATCCCAATCATTTTTACGTGGATCCCTCGGTGATGCCTTTAAACTCCTTTCATCAGAGTCATTATCTTTAGGAAATCTAGGCGATGGCCTAGTATTTTTACCTTCCAAGCTCTCCCTTGATTCTCTTGGTCGAAGCCTATGCATTCTATCATCCCATTCTTGGTCTCTTTTATCCCTTGAAGAATGTTGACTTAACTTTTCATCAAAATCTCCTTCTCTCAAGTCTCTAGGTATTGATCGAACACTTCTTTCTTCCCAATCATTATCTCTCTCTTTTCCTGAAGATCGACTACTAACATCATCCCATTCATTATCTTTTATATCCCGCTCTTTGCGGATAGGTCGTCCATTTTTATCGTCCCAATCAGTTGATTTTGTCTTTTTAAGTGAACGTCTTCCACCTAATCTTTCATCAAAATCGTTCTGGTTAGAACCTCTAGGGAAAGGGCGTCTATCTCTTCCATCCAGTTCGTCTTCATGAGAATCTTTTAAGAATCGTTGATTCTTGTCATATTCTCTGGGAACTCGCCTATCTCTTTCATCATATTCATATTCTCTAGTCATACGCCTATCCTTTTCATTCCAACTATTTTCCTTATAGGGAGTTTTGTCCCTGATCATTCGGCTTCTTTCATCATTTAGTGGTCGCCTACCCCTCTCATTCAATTCAAATTCTCTTCGCCTATCATCATATATATCATCCTTTTCATACATATCAATATCCCTAGACATGAGTCTTTCCCTTTCATCCCAATTACCATTTTCTCTATACATTCGCCTTTCATATTCATTCTCTCTTGTTGGAGTTTTTGCTCTTCTTACTCTATCAATATCTCTTGGACGTGGATCAAGCCAATGAGGTTCAGCTGTTTTTGGTCGATTTTTCCGTGCCCATTCTTGTTCCCTTAAAATATCCTTTTCTTTAGAGTTTCTTAAATCATCGTCTCTTTGCGATAAATGTGGTACCCTCTGATTTTCCACCCAATCGTTAATGTTATCTTTGATCATAGTTTTTTGAGAGAGTGGTGAATTTTGGGACGAAAATTTATTTGACGATTGAAGTTGCAACGGAGGAGGCCTATGAGCGTATAGATGTGCCTGCATTTCTCTTTCGTATTCACGCTCACGTAATTCATATTCATGTTGCTTATGCAATTCAATTTCGTGCTGTCGTTGTAATTCAGCTTCGCGTTGCTGTTGTATTTCGAGTTCACGCTGTTGAAGTTCATATTCGCGTTCTTGTTGAAGTTCAATTTCTCGCTGTTCAAATTCGCGTTGTTTTTGAAGTTCTAATTCACGTTGATGCTGCAATTCAAGTTCACGCTGTTGTTGTATTTCAATTTCACGCTGTTGCTGTAACTCGAATTCGCGTTGTTGCTGTAACTCGAACTCGCGTTGTTGCTGCAACTCAAATTCGCGTTGTTGCTGTTGAAATTCAAGATCTCTTTGTTTTTGTAATTCTCGCTCCTTTTGTTTTTGCAATTCGCGTTCTTGTTGCTTCTGCTCTCTTTGCTGCTGTAACTCACGCAGCCGTTGTTGTTGTAATTCATGCTCGCGTTGTTGCTGCTCTTCACGCTCTTTTTGCAACTGTAGTTCACGCTCACGTTGTTCCTGTGCTTCACGTTCACGTCGTAATTGTGCTTCACGTTCACGTTGTTTTCTTAGTTCTCTCTCACGTTGTTGTTTTTCGAATTGCTCTTGTTGTTGTTGTTGCAATAATGCCAACTGATTCCTCCTTTCTAACTGCTGTTGTTCCCATTCCCGTTCTTGTTCTTCTTTTAATTTTGCTTCCTCTTCAGCAAAAACTTCTTCTTCGGCTTCCTCCAGTTCTTCTTCCCATCCAACCATATTACCCACTAAATCTACTACTTTACCTTCGAAAGAAAATAAGATGGTTTCAAATGCATCAGGATCTAGTTTATGCAAATTTATCAATAATCTACTGAGAGGCTCGTAATTTTCTGATGATTCCTTAGTATTATTGACTAGTGGAATAAGTCGTTTTGTAAGGAGGTTGTATTTATCAACATCTCCTAAAAACCCAGTAAGCTCTTGATCATTTTCAACTAGCTCTAATTTGGGTTCAATTATTTCATTAAACCACAATAAAATTCCATTTAAAATTTTACGTTTTTGTGGTAGTGTATATACAAAGGATGACTTTTTCGATGTTGTTCCGGAATTGGTTAATAATAATAAACATTTATTCAAACCCAAAAGAGCATGTTCGGTTCCGATAGCATTCTTCACCCCAGGAAAAAGATTTTGAATTATCATCGATTGTTCCGATTTATTATCATCATTAGCAAATAAAATAAGTCTTGGTATTAAGTTTTCGAGACGAATCACCCTCGCCATTTCGGTAATAACGTTAGGGGCCAAAAAGTTTTCAATAACCTTAGGATTTTGATCGTTCAACACATTAAGTAATATTGGACCTAATTCTTCATCTGGGGGAAGTGGCGATTTTTTGAAATCATATCCCGTTTTGTTTGCTGAAGTTGGTTCTAATGACCTTTTTACAACTAATTCAGCCACATTGAATAGTCCTTCGACTCGAGTAGTCCAATCATTATGTTCTAATTGTTCAACAATTGTCAGTTTTCTAGGTTGTATATTTGATATCTGTGTTGAATTAGGTGAACCATTTTTGATTGGTGAAGACTTCATGGGAGATTTTGGTGTTGTGGATTTACTTCTCATGGAGGGTGGTGCGGGCGATTTCGAACGTAAAGTAGATGGATTACTTACTGGCGATTTCGACATTGAATAATTATCACTAGCACCACTATCAGATGGAATACTAGGTCGTCGTGATTTACCAAAACTCGAAGATCTAGCTCGACTTTTTGGAGCAGGTGTAGTGGATCGTCTCGGTTGTGATGATGTTGATGATAAGGGTGTTAATGACATATTTCTTGGTCGATCGCGTTCTAGCTTTTTTTTTACCGCAGGTTCCAAAATTTTCAAAATCCTATACGTATTTTAGCCAGATTAAACTTTTAATTTGAACTATAATGAAAATACGTTGTAACAAAATGACATACTTTTCTCCTCTATCTGGCCAGACTTCATAAAATGTCCAAAATACTTCGCGACATCCTTCTCTCACTTTAGGTGCAGCATCAGTTAAGCCCTTTCGGACACACTTTTCTAGAGATTCAACACCACCGGTTCGTTCCATTGTGTCCCTTCGATCAGCATGTGTTTGAATAACTGTCTTCACAAACCCAATAGTATAAGCTCGTAATTGAATGTTCTTTTCTTCCATTGCATGCCAAAGTTGAGTAACAAGTCTAGCATGATATGAACAATATTGGAATAAAGAATTTGCGGAGTTTGCAGCAGCTTGTGCCACTATTTTTTTTGTTGATTGAACCATCTTTAATAAATTTGCAAGCAAATTATCTGCGAAAGGGTCCATGTTTGTTCCTAGGTGTGATACTAAATCTTTGATTAATCCACTTGCAGCTAAAGTAAGCGTTGTACGTAAACTTGTAAGCTAACGATTTCGTTATCACCCCAAAAATTGAAAATTTAAGGAAAACATAATATTGAGAAAGTTTAAGTTTTACGTTACTTAATACAAATAATAAACGATGATAAATAATTAAACACTTAACGTACTGATGTAAGAATACCACTCATAATTAATTTCAAACCATTTATGAATGCATCTGGATATTGTGATGCTGCATCTCCTCTTGTCAAAGATCTCAATTTATTAATATTTCTCTCACGAATTAACCAATTTTGTTCGGATTCTTTTCCTGAGAATGGTGTCAATAAATTTTGAAACTCTTTTTCCAGTTCTTTTGCACTTTCGATCTAAATAAGAATGATAAATTTTTGATTTGATAATAATTGTTGAAACGCAATTAGATGCGGTTATTTTACTTACACGCATTATTCCAATTTCATCTGCTGAACTAGAAGGTCTATTAGATCCTATTGATCTTGATGTTTCTTCATTCGGAGTACCAACGCTCATATAATCTTCCTCTATAGGCTCTGTCATATTATCTGGAATAGTTTCTATGTCATTCGCCTCACCATAATTAGAGCCCATTTTTGATAAAATATATTCCGTTATTGCAGCTCGCACTGACTGCTTCTCGAGTTCACGTTTAAGATCTAACTTAGCGTGTGCTGCCGCGCCACTGTAAATTGGGAAGTAACATTAGATCGAGCAAACTTGACGAAACATATTAACAAAAACAATATTCCCACCTGAAAAGTAAAACTATTCTATCTTTTGCAGTTTCTCTCACTTGCTCATGAGGATCTTCCAATAATTTTACCATATATGGAACCCATTGTTTTATGGAAAAATCCGAAACTCTTCTAGTACAATTTACTATCCATTGTAAAATCTGGCAGTAATGCAAATATGTAAGAAATTGTTTATTAAAATATCCAAGAAATTATCCAAGAATTCACCTGTTCGCGAGCTCTCCACTGTTTATGCTCAAAGGCCGTTTCTTTGATTATGGTTACTAATGGTGCCGTGATTACATTACCGCCATTGGCCGCTGAAATCCACATTGTCAATAAAACGTTTAATGCTGCATCTCTTGCTTTGTCTCTAGTATCCCCTAACTTATCTATAACAGCCGCTGAAAAAGCTACAACAACATTCTTAAGAAATGTTGGATGTGATTCAGCTATTAAAGATATAAAAGGGTTCAGACATATAAGCGCTACATATGAAACTTGTTGTTGAGAGCCTTTAAGAGCATCTCTTAAGGCAGGCACAAGTTGACTAATTACTTGCGGCTAGATAAAAAAAATAAAAAATAATAATAAGTATATAGATAGTTCATCAACATATTTCTTTAATATAAATAGTATAAAAAATATCGATTTGGATAAAATTGAAGTACTTCCTTTTTGACAACTGATTTGATATTTAAAACAAAAATCTAATTAATAAGTTTTACTAACCTCTAGCGGAGTTTCCTCCAACAATTCGTCTTCTAATTTCGTTATCGCTTCAATTTTTTTCTCCGTGTCTTTTATATAAAATTATTTTTTTTAGGAATAATGCAATATCCGAAGGAGGAAATAATACTTTAGTGTAAAGGTTTTATTATACATGAGCTTATTTTAAAAAAAAAACAAAAAACAAAAATTTGAGCAAAACATACTATTTCCCTTTAATGCGAGAAGCACGTTATCGACAAAATCAACTTCTGTCATTTGGTGCTTATATAAATATTCTTATTTTATAAAAAAAAAAATATATTTCGGGTTCCCATTCATATGCTGTGAAGATTCCAATAAAAAAAAATTTTAACTAATGTTTGAGTCTTTGTGTTGCTTGTTTGTAAGGGAAGTGAAGAAAAACAAAGTCAGATCAGGTGACAATTGCTCTTTTATTGAAATAATTAGTTAATTAAATTTTAAAGCTGCGGGTGTAAATTTACACCAAGTATTCTTTTATTAATGAATTGGAATAATTTGAGAGCAATTAACAGGTGAAATAGGCATAAAAAACTTTTGAAAGTAATTTTCAAAGGAAACAATGTGATCAAAGAAATTAGGTGCATTTGCCTGCAGGATTTTTTTTTTTTTGCACATCACATTGAAGACAACAGTGTTAATGTGACATTCAGGAATTATGATCACAAAACAGGTTTCACTGTGAGACAAATATTGATTGGTTATTCCAATCCTTTTGCCCCTATGACAAATAAATGATTTGTATTGTTAAAATCTTTTCAAAAAAGATGGAAATATTCGAAAAAATAGAAGAGAGAGCACCGAAGGAGTACGACGACACAAAGAAGAAGTTAGGAGTGGGAGAAAGGGAAATATAACGGGGAGAGTTGATGAGTTAATGGATAAGTTAGATAAAGGAGAATTCAGAAATGAAAAAGGTATGAAGGAAGGATCAAGGATTTGAAAAAAGAAAAAATGAGTTGAAGAATGACTTGGATTTTTAAAAGGAGCAGATGGTGGCATTTTTATTACGTTCATTAGTCGAGTTTGATAAAGAAAAGGTAATGAACAGCTTGCGTAAAAATATATATATATATATATATATACGAAAAATTATTTTTTATTCTTTTCCTTTTAACTGACTTATACTTCTTCGTTTCTTTTGAATTAAGTTCTATAGCTCCTTCCTATTGACTGACACACCATTTGTGTATGGCTAATAATTTCCGTCACTTATTGTTTACACACCTTAATTTTTTTTTTTTTTTTAGGAATAAAACGTAAGATTGAAGGTAAAATCTCGTATTTCCTTTTGAAAATTATATTAATGTTTCTTTTACAGTATTCAATAAACCATTCAAAATAGAAGATACGTTGAGCCAAGCAAAATTCCAAAATAAGAAAGTGGAAAATATTAATGCACCATCAAGTTATTGTGAAATAAAAAAATATGATCCTGATGCAATGTGCAATTACCGACCAAATGGTTCAAAAAATCCCTATATCTATATACCATTAAATATTCAGAAATTTCAAAGTGAGACTTTCTGCAAAAAAGTTAATTTGAATATTATAAAATAGGTGGAGAGGACGGAGTAATGAAGTATCTTAATGTATTGCAAGGTTTATTCTAATAAATGTCATCAAGAGATGGTATATAAGCTAACTCAACAGGAGTTACACATGAAACAGATGGTGCAATTTTATATAGCGTTGGAGGAGGTCAATGTGCTCTTTTGATCTTAGAAGCAGACAATGAAAAGGAGCGATCTACACAGACAAGCTTGTGGTTCTTATGGAAAATACATTTCAATGATCAGTAATAGCGAGAAATATCTTAATCCTTGTTTTCTTTTGCATCTTGCTAGGCCATGCTTGGAATCTCTGGTGCTATTTTTGGAGAAGAAATTACAATTGAGCCTCTTAACCTTTAGTGTCTATCATGATTATCTCATAAATAATTTTGTTATGTTTGATATATTAAAAGCTGGGTTAGCTGAACTAAAAACATTTATAATTCTGTATAATCAGTTCCATAGAATATATTACGTCAGTCTTATTTTTCTTACTCACGCTCCTTCAAAAGTCACGATAATTTATATTTATATAAAGCAATTATATAAATCAAAATTTCTAATTGAGGTAACATAAAAATAAGGGGTTTACGATGATATCCTGATACCCAAATCCCGACAGTTTAGAATCCCGATTCCAAAATCCAGAATCCCGATCCTGATGGTCTTTAATCCCGAAATGCACATAATCTCGACTGTCAAAATCCTGAAGTTATACACGACAACCAAATACAAATTAAAATAAGATCCGGTAATCTAATACAGATCAAAATAAAAAAATTCATGAGGTTAATCCCGAAAAAATCCAGCACGAAAAAAACCCTAGGTGGAAGGATGGAAAATTTTTTTAATTTAACCCTAATCCTGAACCTAATCCTAATCCTAAATTTAATCACTATAGTACATATCGTATTTAAACTGTATCAGTGCTGCGCCACCGTCTTTTTTTTTTTACAAAAAAATATAGGTCGGGATTTTAGAGTCAGGATTCTGAACTATCGGGATTATGGGTGTCGAATCCCAAAACCCAAACGGTTAAAAAAATTATGGTCAAGGAGTTTATAAATATTGAAATTTTTATTATTATTAAAAAAAAAGTTAATAAAAATATTACAAATAATTAAACTATAAAGTTCCTTTTTTAATAAAACTTAATATAAATAAATGTTGGTTTTAAGTAATATAAAAATATTGGATAATAGTTATTTTAATTACTGAACTGATTAAACTACCCTAGATATTTTTACTTAGATTTGCAAAGTACCCAGGTAGTATAATTAAAAGGCATTTTAAAAGAAGGGGATTTTTTAACCTATCAGTTGATGTTCTTAAACTTGGGATAGGAGTAATTGGGAAAGATACAATAAAGGGTTTTACTGTAGGGAAAATATAAATATATACCACTGAGTAACAGGAAAGAAACTGCTATTATATGGGTTAGGGCTCAGTAGGCTTAATATGCAGGCATGTTCTTTATGCCTTTTATAATTCGATTATTTTTTATTTTCATTTTTACTTAACCAGCCAGCCCTTTCTTATATATTACTTTAAAAAAACACAATAAAGAATTTACTTTGAGTTTTTCTTAAAAGAGAGAGCAAAGAAATAATGTGATTCTGGAACTTGCATTAAATGACTTAGGATCCACGTAATCTTAAATTTTCATCCACTTCAGGTATTTGCATATTTTTCTATTATACATAATCAGATAATCATTAGTGTTCTGCGTCAAATTAAAAAAAATTTTAAACTCTATCATGTAAAAACACATTTCTGTTATTTTTTTTGGCTCTCAATATTTTTTTGCTCTTTATGCTGACAGAGTTAGTTTTGAAAAAAAATATCTATAGTGGTAAGCATATTTATTACTTATTATTAATGTTTAATACTCTAACATTTTTTATACCTTATTTCAGAGTACTGGCGGAATTGCAAAAGTATCAAATTTGACCCTTCTTATAGTCCTGTCTTGACTCTCTTGCTGATTTTTATTGTAAAAACAATTGTTTATTTATATAATAATTAGTAAGAGGTTCAACTTAATACCACAAGGAGATCAAGTTCAATACTTTTTGGCAGGACTCCTATATAAAATAGAGTGTAAAGATGTGAGATCATTCTTTTTAAAAAAATATCCAAAAGCTTTTTAACGTAAATCTCACCATGATAATAGTGAATTAGTAACTCTAGTAAATAATCTAAAACTGAAAACTAAAGAAGATCGTAAGATACTCACATTAAGACGTCAGTTGAAGGTTAGTATTTTATACATATGAAAATGTTAATGAGTATAGTGAATATATTACATTCTATCTCTTCGTGTATAAGAAAAAGCATTCAGTCATATTAGTGTTATGTCAAGCATCTTACTATGAGATTCTTTAATTAAGATCTGCTATATACCTTCCTTATGTTAAGAATCTTTACTCATATATTCTCTTTGCATATTACAGAAGTCCAATAAGAATAATAGAAAGAGAATATCACACCTTTTATTGGTAAATATCTAATTTATTTATCTTTTCCTATTATATACTGATCTGCCTAAAAATACATTCACATTATCATAGAGTTAATCATTGCCACTAGTAAGTGAGCTGTAATAAATGCAGTGAACATTAACTTTTGATAGTTATTCTAATCTTAATATAAATCTAATATCAATATTTATTGCCTTTCAATTTATTGTCTTTTGCAAAAGGCTCCCATTTTTTATCTTCTATTACTGAGATTATCAAGTTATTGCAGAAGAAGTTTAAAAAAGAGAAAAAGGAAGTCATTAATTTGATATGAGAAGAAGTTAATAAGTTAAAGAAAGAAAAAATCAAAAAAGTATCATATTCAATAGTTTCTTTGAATATAATGAGAATCTGCTAAAAAAAGATATACTCACTTTTAATTAGTCTAAGCACATAAAAGCTTTGTAAATTAATAAGAAATATATTTAATTACTTTGAAGAATATTTTGCAGAAATACTTTCTAGAAATATTATTACTTTTGAAGTTGTAAGCGAAAAAAGTTTTCTTAATATGTACAGAGATAGTCTATTTTCATTTTATATGTGATTAATTATGGTAGAGAGTCATAGTATCAATGTTTTAATTAAAAAAGCAGGACCTTCATAATGTAAAATATCTATTAATCATTTAAACCTTGCAACATTTTTGTAACAAAGATCTGAATCAGTTAAATAATCGTTTTTATTTCTTCTTAATTGTCTTTATTTATTAAAATTAAATAATAAAATTATTAGTAAAATTAAAAATAATTGTGATATTAAAAAAAATTATATAATACCTAATACTTTGAATAGTTCACTCTTCCAAGTTTTACTAAAATAAATTTAAAGCCTAAGTGCTATAACTACCTAAGATCATGAGAAAATTAGTAAACTCCTCTGAATATTTAAGATTTTGTAAACCTAATCCTTTTTCTTTTTGCAAATATGCTTGAACCATTATATAACATAATCTGGTAAATACAGGTTTATCATTAAAAGCACCTTTTATTGCCTTATTGGCTAAAGTAAGCTAAACATTTGAATTATTAGACGTATCTCCTTTAATAATATTCCAAATTTGTAATAAGTCAGCATTTTGTAAATATTTTTTTATTAGATCATTTTCTAATCAGAATAAAAGTATATATTTCATATTCTCAAGTTTAGGCATTTTTATAGCAATTCAATTTGCTAATTGAGTATCTAAGCGTAATGCCAAGCATGTGATACAACAGATTTTATTTTGACAATTTTCATCAACAAATCTAATATATTCTTTAGCATGTACAGAATTACCTATAATTACAAAATATAAATAATTTAAATATAAATAATTAATTGATATAAATTAACAAAAAAATTAAGATATTTTACTTTCACAATCAATGAACTATGTATTCTCAGCATATATTTATTGATTAAGGATTCTTTTTTTTTTTAGATTTAGTTTTTTTCTAGAAAACTTTTTTTTGAATTTATTTCTCCATAATTCTTTTGCAATTATTTTTATACGATGAGAACCACCAAATTTTGCAGGAGTTCAATCAATATATGTTGAAATCTTAGCAGAACAAAGACCTCTACAAACTTCCCTTTTTTTACTTGAAGAAGCATTAATATTTTCATTATAATAAATATCAATAATAACATCTGAAGTTTCATCATCTTCACATTCATCAATACCAATAATATCATCATCATCCATTATATCCTCAACTTCACTGCTCCAATCTTCTCATTTTTCATCAGAATCATTGTTACTTTTATATTTTCTAGGAGTATTAAAATAATGATATAATGTTTTTTAGCCTTTATCCTGTTTATATCCTTTACTTCTAGCATACTGATTAATATAATCTTTGTTCTATTTTCTTGAGAGCTTAATTGTTACACCACATATACAAATAACTTTTTTTGTGCATATAACTTTAACAACATATGGATATTGCTTTAAACGTTCTTTTGAGTATTTTCAACCTGTCATAATTTGTAAAATAAAATGCACTTAATATAGATATAAAAGTTTATATATAATAAAAATATGCTTGAGAAAAAGAGAACAATCACAAATTATAAGTTAAAAGAAATACGTAATAAAAAACACGTCTAGATAAAAGAAAATATATTTAACTACTAACATGTTTACATAAATCAGAATATATAGGAAGCTAACATTAGAAAATGTCAGGAGAACATAAGAACATTAGAAATTAAAAGTAAGTAAATTCAGCATTTTAAATATAACAAATAATATAATCGGTAAAAGAATTTAATATCTTATAATATATTATATCTTATCAAAAAAAAGATCAGTACTACGCATTTCTAAACTCTTAGTCTAAATTTAGGATTAATTTATGCAAATATGAATTATAAGTAATACAAAATTAACGTAATACTACTTATACTCAAATTGTAAGATTAAAAAAATTCTCTTATAAACTTTATGCAAATCAACATCTGAGTCATATCATAGATGTTCAGGGTCCTGTAAAAGTATCAATAGTCTCAATTTTAAACTTTAAGAATATTAGATAATATATTTACTAATTTAATCTTAAATATAGATAATAACAATACTTTAAAATACTTTAACATTAAAAAAAATTTAATACTTATGATATTTATAACTGTTTTTATCTATTAATTAAAATACTATCAAAAAAACAAAATATAGGCAGATATTTCTTTTATGTTTTCAATATTATTACTAATATCAATAAATATAAAATGTATAGGTTATTTATTAAATAGTATTATTGAAATATATTAGTTATTTTATTATTATATTCTACGATTTTTTTATTGTATAATAGAATATTAGCTAAAAAATCAGTATCATTATAATAGATAAAAGTATCAGTTTCAATGTAATCAGTTTAGTTAAAAATAGATAAAGTATACATATTATTAATTTTAGAAAGATTTATATATTTATATAAAATTAAAGTTTTTTTTAAAGGATAAAAAAAACATATAGTAAGTTTATAAGTAAAATATTAACAAAAGTTATTTGAATATATATAGAAAAGTGTATTTTTCTTTAAAATCTTTATATAAAATTATAGAAAAAGGTTATATTTTTTAGATATATATTCAGCTATAGTATGAAATCTTCTGCGTAATTATTATATAAAATATTAATAGAAAACTTTACTTTCAGATAATATTCTTTAACTACTTTAATATAAATCTTAATATACAATTTTTTTTGATAAATTGATAAAAGAGACAATAATAACTTATTAAGCAATTAAAATAGATCAATACATTAGAAAAAGTTAACTAATTTAATTTTGTAAGAATTTAAGTATAATAATTTAGTATCTAAGCTAGTATAAAAATAATTTTGAACTGATAAACTAATAGAAATTTTCTGATTTTTTACTAGCTTTATAACAGCTCTATAGTAATACTAAAGTATTATCAGATCGCTACTATAGTATCAACTTGAATCTCTTAAATTATGTATCTTAAAA